TCTCATAAAGCAAAACGATTACTTAGTGGAGAGAGAAACGTAAACGTCTTGTATGTCTAGAATTATGAACATCGACGGTTGCAATCATGTTGCACCTTAAGAAATGAGTGAATACCTTTAAAATTCTTCAATTAATTTATCATATAATTGCATTATTAAAAATAAATTATATATGATTCATATAACGACTCATACATGATCCAGACGACTTTACCCTGCGACTTAAGTGGCCTCAAAAGTTGCAAGCTTCCATTTAATGTAAAATCACATGTGAGTTTGTACATTAACGACATTTTGTAACTAAAGGAATTCATACATTTTATATTTTTTGGTTGCAGAACAATAATTCTATTGAAGTTCAATTTGTATAAAAATTGTTAGBMGCAACMYRCAAGTATTGTATGATTACTATTGAGCACTATYGTAGGTGTATGCAAAAGTAATCTTTTCAATTTAGATTGTAACACTTATTTTCCAGATTTTTTTTTAAATAAATTCATATACATATAGTTATCCGAATAATTAGATGTGTAATCACAATATAAGAAATGATATAACTAAATTTATAATACAGTTAAATAACAGGAAATAAAATAAGAGTATTTTATAATTGTTGAATGAAATATAATATCCTCTAATATTGAGGAATCATACAATGCAAGGTATATAAGCAATAACATTCGTTATATTATAAGCTTACCGATTGTTGTAAACAATAGCTAATCATGGTTGGCCAAAAACCGAAGAACTGAAATTTAAATTGGATTCGTTATAGACAAAGAAATTATTATTGTCTTAGTTTTGATAACAGAAAACTTAGTTTTGTGTAATGATGCTTACGATGTATAAGCACAAAAAAGGATGATGTACATGTACAATTTTTCATCCTCAACACACACCCTGATTTTAAAAACACAATAGTGAATGGACCAAGCATACGATATGTACAAAATCACATACCAAACTTAAAGACTTAAAATATTTATAACCCAATAAATAAAATTATAATGCAATCAAMATCACAACACGAACATACATAAAATTATCACACGACTAAACTTACGATAAGAACATACTTAAAAATATAATCCAATCAAAATCATGATACAAACATACATAACATTCTAATACACTCAAAATTACAAAATAAACTTGCATAAAATCCTTACCTTAGATCATAATTATAAACTCCCACAACCCAAACTTGAAAACTTCAATTTTTTAAGACTTAATATATAAAAGTTGAAGAACTCGAAAATCTGCAAATCAAAAAAGGTTCAACATAAGTAAAAATTACATAGTAAACTTGAACACTTCAAATCTTCACCTAATACATAAGAG